ATTCTATGCTTTTCTATTGTTCAGGGTCCCTCTTTCTTGAAAGCAGGCACCCAATGATCATTGCAATAAACATGGTTCTTCTCAGTGTTGCGTTCCTGTCTCTGGCAAAAATTCCACAGCAGTTCTGGTGTCAGCAGTGGGATCCAGTGATCTGCTCTGGTGAGTTCTGGCTACAGATGAGACTGGGTACCCATGGGATCCTTTGCATCCCTTCCTCCCTTGAGTCAGCACTCCCCAGAGCGGTGCCTGGATCAGTCCCTGAGGAGAAAGCTAAGAGATTGCCGGGACAGCGCTGGTAGGTAAGAGTTGCGGATGGTTTAAGTTGCCACCAGCATAGTTTTGTGCACCAGTAGGTTGTGGGCAGTTTAGGTGGCGGTTGCTGGAACTGTTGCTCCCCTTCCAAGTGGGACTCAGACAGGGGCCAGAGGATGATGCCAGGGTTCCAAACAGCTCTGCCGGTTCCCCTTCCAAGCGGGATTCGCGGTGGGGGCAGCTCTGTCAGCTCCTCTTCCAAGCAGGGTACGACAGGAGCAAGAAAGAAGGGTTTGGGAAGAAGCAAAAGCCAACCAGCATCACAAGGGTGAGTCCTAGCCTGGCACCTCCCCGGGCCTAAAGAGAGTAATCGGATCCAGACTGTCCGTGGTTGTATGTGCACATGTTGTTTGTGAGTCTGAGAGTTATTTGTGAGCTCATTTCTTGTCTCCTTTTTGTTGCTTTGTGCAGTTGGACTTAGGATTTCCCAAGTGGATTTCTTAGAACGCAAGGGCGCAGAGCAGCTCTTTCTCTCTTTTTCTCTCACCGCCCCCCGCAAAAAAGGAGGGGACTATTAAAAAATAAATAATCAAACTATCTCCAATAACCCAAGAGTTATCAGTAGTTGTTTTTAAGCATGTCTGTGCCTGCACCTGTGTTTTGTCTTTCTGAACCATGAGGTACAGCCATGCCTAAGTACCCCAGGGAACTTTTTGAGGCCTCCTGCTCATTTCAGCTCCCAAATGTGTGTGTGTGCGCACTCGCATGTGCGTGTGTTCCCCTTTCCCTCCGCTCTCCAGAATACAAGTAGGGAAATGAGATTTCTTTCCAAAGGATATTTTTAGACTTTGGGAACCTCTACCCCATAACCCTGGATTTCTTTAAGTCTCAGCCCCTATGGCTAATACTCTAGCTGAAAATGTAGGGCTGCTCTTTTTCCTTAACTTTCCTCTTCTGATTTATGCCTTCCTTGCTGATTTCTTTGTGACTGCTCTACCCACTCTTTCAGGCTCCTGGTGGAGACCCCATCCTACCTCTCCATGTTTTCTCCTGGACCTCTCTAGCTTTTGCCACCTTTGCACAAGCTCATCTCCATTCCCCACTCTCTGCCCCTGATTGCTCCACTAATTCCTACTGAACCCAAAAAAAAAAAAAAAAAAAAAAGGAAAAGGCACCACCAAGTATAACAATGGGCAATAAAATCTGAATAATGACTGGAATTCTTTACTTGCTGGTGGTGTGCGTTCCTGACATGCCACATGTTTAATCTTTCTTTTAATTACTTTTGTAGAGACCTCCTCTTGTACTTTGATTTGTGTATTTCTTTTTTGGAACTGACCCTTTCTCCTTTTCATTTCTCTTCTTGATGCATGTGTGCTGGTGTATTGTTCGTTATCTACACTTAAAGCCAATTCAGAACATCACCAGGTGAAACAAAGCCATACCTACTTGAGCCACTGGAGTTGTGTGGTGATAGGAAACATAACTGTGTTCCCACCCTCCAATAGATCAGGGATTCTGGGACCTTTTAATAGAGCTCTGGGTCAGAGGAGTTGAAGTCTCCTCTCCATGTAAAGGTACAGGAGAGCTCCAGTGGTCAGGAAGTGGCAGTCTTGAGTAGAGGAAGACTGAAGTCTGTGTGGACATAGCATTGGGCAGGTTGACTGCAGCAGGCCTGCTTTGAACTGGTGGAAGTGGGCCTCAGTGAAGGTGGAAGGATTGGGCATGGTTGCAGAAGATGGAGTGCAAAGGGACAAAGGGGTCTTTTGGAAGGCATCAAAAGATGCAGATGGATGGAAGCAAAGAAAAGCACACTGTATGTTGTAAGAGGGTTTGTGAGAGGTTAGTGTGTTGGGAATGGGGAAGATAAAGGTGGACGTCTGTTTACTGGCATTGTCTGAGGGCCTGATCTCAAGGTGGGAAAGAAGCAGCTATAAGCTATTTGAACAGCCCACCGGAAACGCTACCAAGAATTGGCCCAGGAAGAACTGAAGGAGTGCATTTTCTTCTTCTTTTTTTTCCTCCTGGTGCAGGAAAACATCTGGCCAGGAGTGAGGGTAGGAGTAAACGTCTGAAGGCTCAAATACTACTGTAATGGCAAACATCTTTGCAACACGCCCCAGTACAGTATTTTGTACTTTATACATGCTATTACAAAATAATTCCAGCAACATGGCATGTTTTATTTGAGAAACATCAGGGGAGAAACCTGATGTTTTTCAGGAAAAAGCTGATGTTTTTCAGGAAAATGTTATGAAAAGTCTCCTACCCTTATGGTTTTGGAGCATTAGTTCCCAAAAAACAAAAGCCCTAAGCAATCTTTTCTTTCCAGTCTATCAGATTTGAAGCAGTGGGGGGACCTTGCTTCCCCCTCTAAAGTAAAAAAGGTGATTGCAGTAAATGGGCTGGACTTTAAGTGTTTCTTTTTTAGAATAAAGATCTGCATTTCAAATGTTTTCTTTTGCAGATTTATTTCTTTCACTTGCTACTGTTAGGAAAAAGTGGTAACTTCTCTCAAGAAGACCTACGCAAGCTCAGAGAAGCAATAGCTCGGAGAAGGGGGGAGGGAGGTACATTTTTTGCCCTATTGCTGTGCTGCCCCCAAGAGTGCTTTGCATTTCAACTTTTATCAGCAATCTCATTCTCTGCTTTGCAATAAAAGTCCAGCCCTAAAGGGGGTCTTCATGTGTTTTACTTTTAAACTAAATGGGTTATGAGGAAAAACTTATAGGTTTCATCTTTGTCCCGCAGTATGGATATTATGAACAAAAGGGAAACAATGTTTAGGACAATATTGGATAGAGTCTCCATGGACTGGTATGGTCTATCTGAAAACAAAAGAAAACAATAATTTTCAACAACTTCTGGCTCTGGAAGCAGTCCAGGCACTCTATAAATTCCTATGTCAATGTCTGTCCAGCTTTTCAAGTTATCATTCTTGGAAATTATTAGGAATGAGAAGATATTAAATTCCTTAGTAGTTGAAGTATATAATAATGTTCTCATCTAAGTAGAAATGTGATGAGCAGTCCAAGTTTTGCCTCAAGGCTGCTTGCATTCACCCATACCCTTTCACAGTGTGAGGGCCTGTTATCTGGGTAAGCATTTCTACAATTATGCTAACCTCTCATGATT